GGCAGAGATGTTGACAAACACGCGGGGATTCGTTTCATAAAAGGAAATGCCTCGCAGCCCCTCGTATTGTACCACGTGAAAGGAAAGGCGGCGAGCGGGCTGGGCGGCTCCTCGGTGGGCCCGGCCCCTGGTGCCGGATTCAGGCGTGGGGGTACGAGGGCTTTTTTTTTTTTTTTTGGGGGGGGGGGGAGAGGGAAGGGAACATTTGCCGTTTTCTTATTGTTGTTGTTTTTTTTTCTCTTTTCTTTCTTTCTGTCTTTCTTTGTTCGGTTTTTGTTGCTCTTGTTTTTCATTCATTTTTTCTTATAATGTCTTTCCTTTTCTTTTTCTGTCTATCATTATTTCTTTTGTTCACCATGTTCTTTCCGACTTTCTAGCCCATTTCCTCCCCTTCCTTCGTATCTCCTATCGCCTTGAACGGATGTGGAATGCATTCAACACAGTGCTATCCCACATACAAATATTGCAGGATGACGTAAAAGAGAAAATACTTCTCTCATTCCACGGACCGAGTGACGTTGTGTGTGACTGTATGCGCGTGTGTATGTATGTGTGTGTTTGTATATACTGTGGGTATTTTCCCCCTTCGAGTCACCTCAAGGCCCGAGGTGGCGCGTGTGGCTTGGAGGAGCGCCCCGCGGCGTCCTGTGTCGGGTGCCGTGAGCCGAGGCACCTGAGTGATCTCTGGCGGCCGCTCTCAGCGCAGCCTTGACACCGAACTTATTTTGTGTGAAGGGAGTGTTTTGTCTCCTGCTCATTTTTGCGGCCGTAAAGGGGCAACGCTGTCACTTTTTGTGGGTGGTGACGTAGTTTTACTTTTTATGCAAGGAATATACGTGGATGTTTATATAGATTAGATAATTCCTATTAGTACTTAGAGTTTAAAATAAAAAAGGAAAGGTAAAAATCATATTGCGCCAACACGCAACTGCAGTCTGTTCACTTGCCTGCAAAGGACAACTCCCCAATATTCGTTTAGCAGTCAAGTTGAAATAACTAAGTTTAGCAAGTAATATCTCTGTCGGAGTGTTATTGTATGGAAATCTAACAGTGTTTCTTTTCCCAACAGACAGCAAGTGTGTCTAGAGAGTCTAGAGGACAGCGTCCTGGTGGGCGACGAGGACTGGCTGCAGGACAAGCACGGCTGCCCCGCCTACGTCGCGCCGGAGATCCTCACGTCGTCCTCGTACTCGGGTCGCGCCGCCGACATGTGGGGCCTCGGCGTCATGCTCTACACCATGCTCGTCGGCAGGTGAGGACTCCCGAAGGACAGGGCTAGGATAAGGGCTTGTAGAAGAGTGGGTGGGGTTTGTAGTGAATATTTGTGGATCCTTACGAGTGGGCGTGTGGAAGATCTTGTTGATATTCTGAAGGGATGATGCCAAGAATACCAGAGAAGGAAGCTTAATGCCCCAAAGTCTAACGCCGGCGCTCTCTCTCCCCAGGTATCCATTCCATGACTCGGACACGTCGTCGCTGTTCGCCAAAATCAGGTGCGGCGAGTTCAAGGTGCCGGAGTGGGTGAGCTCCCGAGCGCGCCACCTCATCACGGCCCTACTGCGGCGCGATCCTGCCCGACGCCTGGCGGTGCAAGACGTGCTGTCGCACCCGTGGCTGACCCGGCCCCCGCGCGACCACCCGCTCAGAGACCCCACCGACCACACCGTCCCCACCATGTTCTTGCAATCACCGAGCCACCGCTCGCAGTCTCCGAAAGCGAGCTCCGCCGCGGCGAGCCACGCGCCTAGTCTCTTCGGCCTGTAGAGCGGAGAGCACCTCAACGTTTACCTCTTCGGCTGCCTCGACGTGAACCACGGGGTCGCCTGTGAAAACAGCAGTGGGCTTTTCAATTCTATTTTTTTATCCTTATCCTTATCGTCAAAGCCCTCGACATGCATTACATGTATTATGCCCTCATTTGAGATCTATCAGATTGCTCCAAGTATTCAGTCAGTTATTTTTATTTTGCCTCAGAGTTGATCCTGTTTCCACGAGGAACTGAATCTTGCAACAAACTGCCATTTATGTAACATGTCTGCTTGACTTGCGGAACCAGAAGAGTTTGCAGTGCAATTCGTAGTTTTATAACACCTACAACAAAATTAAAGGTATCACAGATATGTTTGTATGTAACAAAATTATATAAAACAAACCGTGAGGGTAAAGTGGCTTGGTGCATCCAAAATACGATAATGGTGGTGGTGCTTTCCATGCCTTTTGGACGTTCGTATCCTGTATAATTATTCTGTTATGATATGGAAAGGCTGTCCTTTATATTTTGAGATTTTGTCCAAATAGAACGTTTTATAAAATGCTTTCCATATAGAAACAAACGTACATCTTCTGATCGGTAGGGATATTTGTGCATATTCTAACTGAAAAGTGGGCCGAGCAGCAAGGCCCCTTGTTCCCTAGTCTTAGGAAAGAAAGTGAAGCTTTAGGTATTTTTCATGGATTCCAGCTAAGCAACCTAGCAGGACAAATGTCTCGGAGTGTGCTCGTTCGTAGTCACGGGCACGGTTGAAAATCTGTGATAACTTGCATCTTCAAGGCTTGTAGGCTTCAGTAAATAAGCGTTAGTGAAGAGTGTTCCATATCATCAAGGGTTCTCTAAGTATGTTGCAAGGCATGCTCCGGGCGGCCCAAGAGACAAGGTGTAAAGAATAGCTTTGTAGATTTGCAGGCTTGAAGATGCATACTTCTTGAAAGATATTCTTTTAGGGATCCTATAGCATTATCCTGTATTTGGATCAATGGCAAGACAAAAAAAATATCTTTACCTCTTTCATGTATGTAATTTTTAAATATTTTCTATCAGTGGCAAGTAAAGTACAATATTAAACAATAGGGAGTAAGTGTCGTCTTCTGTGTGTGTATAAATACATACTTCAACATGAAAGAAACTGCTGTATACTATGTAATATTTTCAGGAAATTGTCTGCAATTAAACTAGCCTGTCATTGGTATGCAGAAACAAGCTTTATGGTGTTGTAAGAATTCCAGAGAGTTTGTGGCGGAATTTCCTTGATATTACAACAGACTTTTAAAATCTTCACTACTATAGAATTAATGCTGTAGTTTCAACTTAGCATTTGCTTTTAAAGTATCTTTTTCACAGTTATGTAACAGCAGTTATTTCAGATATATGGTAGACCTAGTTGGTGAACATAGCACAAATCTTGTTTAGCAGTGTTATACTTTAGCAGTTTCTTGAAGCAATGCAATTTATTGGTAGTTAGCTCTTATTTGTATGTAAAAGTGACAGATTATTTTACTATAATCCTGATAGCTCTACAACTTACGTGAGGTATTTATACTCTGCTTTATTTTCATCTTAGTATTGCATTGTGAATACAAGCTAAAGATACTCCAGCTGTATAACGCAGCAAAGTAACATTGCCGCAACAGAGTCTACTGTATAGAGTGAAGGGTAAAGGGTATGAAGCCCTTTCCTTAATTGGTGTGTATGATTCTACAGTATGAATGTGTGTGCAAAGCATATTGCATAAAAATCTGTCGGGCGATATGATCAGTTACATCAACAGGGTACGTCATTTAGTAAGCCATATTTTTCTAGACAGAGCAGGAAAAATATGAGTTATCAAACTGCCACAGTAAAACAATTAATACTACGTGCGTATAAGACACCGTCTGTGCAGTTTCAAGTTGAGAGTTACTGATCATTCGCAATGCTGTTAATAGATAACGCCATGTGTCAAATCTTCCCCACATCTTCCGTTTCCAGCGTACAAGATGACTAAGTTGTGGCAGGCAGTCCAGGCCGTATTGTTCACGACTTCTGACTGATTAAAGGAAGTGTTGGCATTGATCTTTTCAGGGGATCACGCAATAGTAGTGTTGGGATGAATTCGTTTCTGTGTAAATTAGCAGATATATTTTTTTTCTATCATATGTGCACTCCTTAATAATGTATTGTTAGATTTACTTTTTATTTGCATTCCCAATGCTAGTCTTAAATGTGTAGAAAATAGAGTACCGATGTTGAACAAGAAAGTATTCGATGGAATAGAATAGTTGCGCTCCCCTGATAATGTGATTGTGTACATATAAGTTTGTTTTAGGTACCAGTATTTATTTCTTTGCATGGAATTCAAAGTCCAGGCCCATTAATGTTGGGTTAGCATTTGGCGAGTTACGACGGTTGCTTGATTGTGGTGGGGAGGATAGATATGAGAAACCAAATTGAAAGCAAGTTTTATGAGTTGGCAATTCTTTTTGTTCATAGGCTTGTGTCTGGTATTCGACAGAGAACCCTGCTCAAAGGTACTAGGTTGTTTTAGCAGAATGTATAGGCTGAAAACGAAATGTATGAATATCGATCTTTTACTTTTGTAAGTCTTTGTTCTATTTTCTGGCTAAACCAGTGCCTTGCCATTGTCATTTTAGCATGATCACAATATATTGGGCCAGATTTCTTTCTTTTAATCTCAAGGATGTAGTAGTTGCAAGGATAAGATTAGATTTCATGAAAAATTACTCTGCTCTGTATCTTGGTATTGAACAAATTATATTTTTCCTAAAAAAATGTTTATATTCATACATGTATAGGTACTTTCAGTTTCAGTTGGTTATATGAAAGATAAATCCAGTAAAAGTGAGGATTCAATTTTTTAAAATCCTGCTGACAACCTAGTTCAAATGGGAAACCTGTTGGTGTCACAACTGTATGTGTAAGGGACGAAGACAAAGTGGCTTTTGTATCTAACTAAAAATACTCTTTCCATCACCTGGAAGCCATAAATAGTGTTTTTAACAAACTTGCCCCAATGAGATAGTGTTGTCCCTTACGTGTGCAATAGGATACAGAATGCCATGATACTTGTGTAAATAACAGTTTTGTATATATTCTAATGTGAATATTCCATGTTATAATAAAAATTGAAATTTTATGTGCTTCTTTTATTTTCATTTGCATGAATCTGTCAGAATGTATTATAAATATAAGTTAAAAATACAAATGGTTAATTAAACTGCTTTTCTTCAAAATATGGCATTTATTTATACAATTACAATGTTTTTCAAACCTTGGAAATGGAATATGAGAGATGAAACCCTATAAAATGAAAATGCCTCTTAAAATGTTTCCTGTCCAAAGAACAAATGAATTTTGAAGTACATGGAGAATCATGACAATAACTTGTTTCCTTACTGATCATTAATAATAAACAATAACCATAAAATAACCTGAATACTATGATTTTTAAAAGATTAATGGTAATAAAATTATTACACGAGTCTCAACAGAAAGTACTAGCTTTGAATTCCCAGAAATGAGATGAATGACCTTTTATCAGCTATTTATAAGTGTTGCCTAAACATGAGATGTACAATAAAAAGATGAAGTCTTCCTTATGAACTATGGACAATGATGATGACATGATACGAACAGGATGTACAGTGCCATATATTCATTTATTTTGTACAGTTTGTTTTTATCTACCATTTAATCCTTGGATGGCACACTTATCTCAAATCTACACACATTGCCACAATTCAAAAAAAGGAAAAAAAAGCATATATATGCATATATATAAACCTTCATGACGTAAGCATTAATATCAGTCCACTGAGTGATGGTTTGAAGGTTTCAGAGGAAAAAAAAAAATTGTATATAGTGAAATGTTATTTAACGAAACATAACAAAATACATAACATCACTTTCTTTTCAAGGAATAATATCAATATTTTCTGAAGTAAAATGAGCAATAAGAGTATTGATTTTTCACAATACACTAATAAGAATACCATCAACCTCTACTTTGAGGTTTATAAGTAACGATTAACTAAAATAAAATTTGCCACTGCTAATATCTTGACCTTAAAATCTTTTGCTAAGGATCCTGGTATACATATGAATAATAATACATTGAAAATCAAATTGAAAACTATTTTATGGCAAGTTCTTACAGCCTACTCTGTGACTCATATAATTTCAAATATCCTAGTAGCATATATACACACATGCACGCAAACACACACACATAAACACGCACACAGATTTTTCCTCTTCTCACAAGGAGCCTTAAATTCTCCATAATTAAGTTATCACAAAAAGTCTTTAGAGCAGTTTTTTTGCTCCATGTGCCACAAAGTTGTGAAAAGCTATCAATGATACTCTTAAAATAAAAAAAAGAAAAAGAAAAGATAAATTCAGAGAAATGGTTTTGCACTAGCATGTAATTATCAAACAAAGAAACCACAAGAGATACAATATCACTCATGTATTTACACTTAGTCTTACCTACAAACAAAACAAAAATACATCCACAAGCACTCACACACTCAGACTCAGACACACAGGCAAATATCCACCTAAGCGCACACATGTGGCTCTGGTCTGGGTGTGACACACTTAGTACTGAGTCAAGGACAAGTTCCAGGTACAGAAGAAGTGGGTGAGAGAGCCACCCAGCACATGGGGGAGCAGCCTCATAGCATCGCGCCAAACTAGAAACTGCAAAGATAAGAATGGCAGATACAAATGGTCAGTGAATAATACCATCAGGTTAACTGTGGGGAAAATAATTGTTAAATACTCTCATAAAATAAAAGAAAAATCATCATTTCAACAACCACTTTCACAATCATCAAAAGCTGAACACACTTGACAAAGGTGGATCACAATGAGCTGTATCTTATTTACAATGCTAATACAATCTATGCTACATCAGGTACATTTTTTGTACTAAATCTCCTAAATGTATTCAGAGCATGCTTCACTTTCTTCTCAAAAACTCTTCCAATACATCACCATTGATGACTTTTCTATTTATAATTTTCAAGCTTGCTCCACTTATGAAAAAACTTGCTCATTTTCTGCATTAGCTGCACTCCAGTTAACATTAACCATATGATAATAAACACTTCTATAGTACTGAATAAAGTACTGAGTCTTTTGGTTCCATCCACAGTACAAATTTAACAAATGCTTCACTGAGATTGATTCCTTACTTTAACATACTTTTTGTAAAAATCACACTGGAGTCAAAACTTTGAACACCGTTTTCTATATAGACGAAACTTGTTCTCATGTCTCGTATACACATCATCTTACCATTTGCAACTGTTATACATAAAGTTTTTTACAGACAAATCATTTGACCTGAAATTGATTCAGTTTCATAACTCTGCCAATAAGGTTTCTTCAATCAACATATGTATAAAATTATATAGCTCTCACTGGAACACCATGAAGCTCACTATGATGATTAAGGTGCTAATTTATGAAAGTCACAGAAATTACAACTAACATTAATACATTCCCCCTAAAGTGTAAGAGACCATCTATTAGAAAAATACATTACAGTAACTCTTCCTAATCAACTTCTATAAACTTCCAAAAAAACACTTCTTAACAATATAGGAGCAAACTGTTTAAACATTCTTATTCCTAACAAAAGTAACTCTGTCTTACACTATTATTAAAATGTGTCTGATGACGGGAGAGGTAGAGAGAGAGGTAGAGAGAGAGATAGAGAGAGAGAGAGAGAGAGAGAGAGAGGGAGAGGGAGGGAGGGAGGGAGGGAGGGAGGGAGGGAGAGGGGGAGGGAGGGAGGAGGGAGGGAGGGGAGAGGAGAGGAGAGGGAGAGAGAGGGAGGAGAGAGAGGAGAGAGGGAGGGAGAGAGAGAGAGAGAGGAGAGGAGAGAGAGAGAGAGAGGAGAGAGAGAGAGAGAGAGAGAGAGAGAGAGAGAGAGAGAGAGAGAGAGAGAGAGAGAGGGAGGGAGGAGGGAGGGAGGAGGGAGGGAGGGAGAGGGGAGGGAAGGGAGAGAGAGAGAGAAGGAGGGAGGGGAAGGAGAGGAGAGAGAGGGGAGGGAGGGAGGAAGGGAGGAGGAGAGGAGGGAGGGGAGAGGAGGGAGGAGGGGAGAGGGAGGGAGGGAGGGAGGGAGGGAGAGAGAGAGGGAGAGAGGAGAGAGAGAGGAGAGAGAGAGGAAGAGAGAGAGGGAGGAGAGAGGGAGGAGGGAGGAGGGAGGAGAGAGGGAGGAGGGAGGAGAGGAGGGAGGGAGGAGGGAGGAGGGAGAGAGAGGGAGAGGAGGAGAGGAGGAGAGAGGGAGGGAGGGAGAGAGGGAGGGAGGGAGGGAGAGGAGAGGAGGGAGGGAGGAGGGAGAGAGGGGGGAGGGAGAGAGAGAGAGAGAGAGAGAGAGAGAGAGAGAGAGAGAGAGAGAGAGAGGAGAGAGAGGAGAGGAGAAGAGAGAGAGAGAGAGAGAGAGAGAAGAGAGAGAGAGAGAGGAGAGAGAGAGAGAGAGAGAGAGGAGAGGGAGGGAGGAGGAGGAGGAGGAGAGGGAGGAGGGAGGGAGGGAGGGGGAGGGAGGGAGGAGAGGGAGGAGAGGAGAGAGAGAGGAGAGAGAGAGAGAGAGAGAGAGAGAGAGAGAGAGAGAGAGAGAGAGAGAGAGAGAGAGAGAGAGAGAGAGAGAGAGAGAGAGAGAGAGAGAGGGAGAGAGAGGGAGAGAGGAGAGGGAGAGAGAGGAGGGAGGGAGAGAGAGAGAGAGAGAGAGAGAGAGAGAGAGAGAGAGAGAGAGAGAGAGAGAGAGAGAGAGAGAGAGAGAGAGAGAGAGAGAGAGAGAGAGAGAGAGAGAGAGAGAGAGAGAGGGGGGGGGGGTTAGCATGTGTGTATGATACACAAGAGCATTCAGCAAACTGTGGTATCAATCATAATGTATATTTTTATACACATATTAACTATATAATGTACATACTATCAAAGAAATCAAATGACTCATTCAGATAAAGATGCATTTTACTTATGCATACACAGGTATGCAGAGTCAATTGGGCATGTGTGTGCACATGCACAAATATGCAGACACACATATACAGCCATGCACGCACACAAACACACGCAAATGTGCACACAAGCACTTTACCTACACAAACACACTTAAAAAAATGCAGACAGATGATCAGACAGACAGATACACACACAAAATTTGAAATCCAAATTTGTTTAAATTTCTGATGCACTCCCATTAATCCTGTTACCAACCTTACACATATAAACACATCATTTGAAAATCAAATTTCACGATCATTAAACACAAAAGAGCAAGTAACAAATCATATAAACTCAACATAATTACACTTAAATTTTTCTGCACATGAATCGGACAATCTCTAAAAACTCATCTGCCAATAATTTCTACACAACTTTCTACATTATATGTATAAATACGGAAAATCTCATTGTTACAGTGATTCAATAAAAGACAATTTTGGCGAAAACTTAATGAGATCTAATAAACATGAACATTTTTTCAAACAATCATTACTTTCTCAAAATAAGTGCACATATCATCATGAATATCTTTGAAGTTGAAGATATAAGTATCTCCCTGTTCCTTACAGCAAATTCCAAACAAGGAATAAAATGACCATTTCACTTAAAAAGGAAAAGTAGCAAATGTCACTTTGAAAATCAAATCTAAATTAAAAGATTTGGCAGTAAAAAGATGAAAAAATATTTCATCTTAACCATAATGCAGTAAGAACTAGAGTGGTCTTTTACCTATGGATAATTTAGTTTCATATGCACCACTAACATTATGCAAGTGATTTATTCAGCAAGTATATCAACGGACAGAAGAAAAGAAAAAGACTAAGTCACTGCAAGTAAATATCTCATAACATAGTCTAAATGATTTTCTTTATGAAAAAATATGAAACATCATGTACACAATCTCATATAAATATCATATACATATATAAATCAATGTTAATTCAATGGGAAAAAATGTGAAATACATCATCCAAATCCCTAAAACAGTAAAAAGGCCCTACAGATCTTAAAACATTCTCCCCAACATCCTTTCAATGAATGTCTTACTGTAAAAATTGTTATTAATTGTCTTCACAGAGACAAACAACAATTGTGCATACACATAGATTTGATTCTACTAAAAAACTCTTCATTTGTTTTCCTTCACCAGAAATGCAAAGTCCGTAACAGGCTAAGAGCTAGAATCCTAGAAGACTAGGATGACAATAATTCAAGAACAAAACATTCTATCCTTGACATCTGATGATACAAAAAAGTACAAAGCTCACAAAGTACTAACAAGTACTACAAAAACAAGGACAACAGCCATAAGGATTAATAACAACTGCAATGACAAGAATACCAACAAAAACAACAATAAATAATACATCACTAAAAGACAATTTCATTTGGCTCTATGCATTATATCAAAATCATCATTGGTTGTTACAATAATGTCATTAGTGAAAATAATGCAAACAAATCAATTATAATTACAATAATACAATAGCCATATTCATCATAATTACAATGAAATAATATCATCATCATTATCATATCATTATCATCATCATCATCATCATCATCATCATCATGATATAATAATAACAACAAAAATAATAATGATAATAATATATAATATAATATAATATAAATATATAATATATAATATAAATATAAATATAATATAATAATATAATAATATAAATGTAATAATAATAATAATAATAATAATAATAATAATAATAATAATAATAATAATAACAATAACAACAAAAATAATAATGATAATAATATAATATAATATAATATAATATAATATGATATGATATGATATATATATGATATATATATGATATGATATTATGCATCATATATAAATATATATATATATATATATAATATTAATATGATATGATATGATATATATATGATATATATGATATGATAATATGATATATATATATGATATGATATATATATATGATATGATATTTATATATATGATATATATGATATATATATATATGATATAATATATATGATATAATATGATTATATATAGATATATATATATGAATTAATAATGATATAAATATAATGATTATGATATGGATATATATATGAATGATATATATATATGATTAATGAATATATATATAATATATATATATATATTATAATATATATGATATGATATATATGAATGATATATATATGATATATGATATATGATAATAATATGATATATATGATGATGATATGTATATATTATGATATGATATATGAATATCATATATATGATAGATATAATGATATGATATAGATATATATGATATGATATATATATGATATAATGATATGAATATATATATGATATATATATGATATATGATATATGATATGATATATATGAATATGATAAATGATATGATATATGATATTGATATATAATGATATAAAATATAATGATATTATGATATATAATATATATATTATGATATATAAATAATATAATATAATATATATATATTATATATATATAATATAATTATATATATAATATATATAATATAATAATATAATATATATAATATATAATATAATATAATATAATATATATAATATAATATAATATATATATTATATATATATAATATAATATAATAATATATAAATATATAAAATATAATAAATATATAAAT